CTTGGGGGGTGCGTGGTGTCCGCCTCCCGGTTTTGTCCCTTTGACCTTCCTCTGTGGGTAGTTAGCTCCGGGGAGCCGACGGGGCTCCCCCCAGAAAACCAGCGTTGAATGTAATGAAACGCCATTTTCTGGGTGAGACCCGGAGGCTCCCCGGCAACCCTCCCTCCCTCCGGTCGGCGTTTTTCGCGTGTTTTGACATCCAGCCTCAGAACTGATGGGTGGATAGCCGGCGTGGGAGGTCTGGGGCTCCCCCTTCCCCCTCCCGGGGAGGGGGGAGCTGCGCAGACAGCGGCGCGGTGACGTATGACGTCATACTAGTTTCCGTGTTTTCTGTTGAAGAGTTCTATTCACTAGTTCGGCTTAGGTAGCAATTTTCACCAGAATAGGGGTTTGTTTTGGAATGCTTACCTTTCTGGATGCTTGACCCGGTCGATGGCAGACATAGAATGCTTCCAACCACACGGGGGTTTCTATAGGCCATTGCTCCCCTTGCCTCTCTGAGGGGGCCAGGTTCTGGCTCGTGGTCCCCGGTAGGCCCTAGAACTCCATACACATGACTGATGCCAAAGTCTGACATTAGCATATCAGCCGGTAAAGCTCCGGGGAGCCTCCGGGTCTCACCCAGAAAATGGCGTTTCATTACATTCAACGCTGGTTTTTTAATAATGGAATACAATCCCAATTAACTGGATCCCTATTTAGTGTATTCTTGAATTAACCAGAAGATATTAATTCGGGAATTGCATTGAAAATCTAGTTTGTAATTCAGTTATCCGGGAAATGCAGTGTGTGGTTTCCCGTATAGTATAAACAGATTATCTTGGAAGGGGCTGGCACTTACTTGAAGAATATAAAACAAAAATAACTTTACATAGCCAAATAATCCTTTTGTAGGTATGTCATGAAGTGAATGGTGAAACAAGTACACTGTTAAGTACACTGATCCATAAGTGGCAGTAATCTTGTGTGTATCAAGTGAGTGTAGGGTGGCAGGCTGCTCCACATTGTTTCACAACTACTGTACTTAAAAATGACTTCCAGCCAAAAACTATTGACAATGCCTCTGCCATTTGCTGTTTCCTCTTCCCTTTTCTCACCACCACCACCATCCTTTGTTTCTTTATACACATAATCAGCCTTAACACACAATTTGTTAATGTAAATAAATTTAAAGTTATGTGTGATTAGCTTGTAAGTTGGTCACTTTTCCATACTATATGATCTTAAAATATGCAGAAGCATTGTAAATATTGTACAGGTAAATATTGTACAGAAAGTTGTAATTTTGTCCACCTGGAACTATGTAACAGGTTACTAGATGAGACAAAATATCATGACAAAGCCTGTCCAGCATTTCATATCATAGGAATCAGATGAATAAAACCAAATGAATGCCAGCTGATACATAGAATAAGAAATAATTCTAAGTCACAATCACCACAATTCTAAATCTGGTTATTGTCCTTGTATATAAATCACCTGGTGCAAATCCTCAGCAGTTTAAAGACCAACTTATGAAAATAGAATACTGCTTAGAAAACCTCACAAACCCTGCCCTTAACATCATCTTACTTGGTAATTTCAACTTAGGACATCTAAAATGGGAAAAATGTGGCAAATACTGTTATAGCGGAGAATGTCCCAGGAAGCAGTCTGAATGAACAGTCACGTACAAATGACCTCTTGCAGATGTGTGACAGATTTACTTTAAACTAGCAAATAGTAGAGCCAACTAGGAAGGAAAACATCCTAAACCTTATTTTTACTAGCAACAATGAGCTGATCAGAGACAGAATGATTACAACTACTTGTTACTCAGATAACAACCTGATCGAAGGTCAGACGAGCCTGGGCAATAGACCTCTGCAGCCAATCTCAAATCCCAGAGGAGGAGAATTGAGCAAATTAAATTTGAGTAACAAACTGATTAACTGGGAAGAAATAAACCAATACCTTGCAGAACTATGCTGGGAAGAATAACTACATAATGTACACCTAAACCAGTGCTTCGAGAAAATAGGTACTGTAGCACTAGAAACATGTAGATGTTTCTAGTGAGAAAAAGAGAAAAAGTTGCACACTGGTACGAGAACTGCGCTCCCTCTATAGGCAAAGACAACAAATAGCAGAACATCTCAAATGCTCCACACACACTCAACAACAACAAGGAAAGCTGTGTAGGGAAATAGAAATGATCGCGCTGAAGCTGAGAGAATCCTTTCGAATCAAAGCGAAGCAAAGGAAGCAAAAGACCACACATGAAATAGAGAGGAACCCGAAATATGTTTTTTTGTATGCAAAAACAAGAACAAAAGCTGCATCCAGCATTGGGCCCTTGCACAAGGGTGATGGAACTTTCACAGATGACGACAAAGAAATGAGTGAAATACTGAGGCTTCATTATGATTCTGTTTTCAGTGAAACCCTGACCACATTGAAGATCGATAATCCAAAGGAATTCTTCATGAATGTGACATCAACATAGAACCACATATAAGATGTCACCCTAACCCCACTGGACTTTGAAGTAGCCATAGACAGCATGCCTATGCACTCTGTGCCAGGTCCAGACTTGTGGAATTTTGTATTCATCAAGAAGTGCAAAACACCACTATCACAGGCCCTAAACATCTTTTGGAGATGGAGCCTTGATACCGGTGTCATTCCTGACATACTTAAAACAGCAGAGATCGTGCCACTTCACAAAGGAGGTAGTAAAGCAGATGCAAAAAATTATAGACCAATAGATCTAACCTCACACATCATAAAAATCTTTGAAAGAGTGCTAAGAAGTAAGATTACAAATCACATGGCATCACAACATCTAAATAACCCTGGACAACACAGGTTCAGAACAGAGCACTCCTGCCTCTCACAGTTGCTAGATCACTACGACATGACCTTAGGTGTTACGGAAGACAAGCAAACCGCAGATGAAATATACACAGGCTTTGCAAGGGCTTTCTACAGATGTGACCATGGTCTTGTTGCACACAAAATGCATGCAAAAGGAATTACTGTACTATATTGGCAAAGTAGGGAAATGGATCTTCAACTTCCTAACAGATAGAATGCAGAGTGTAATAGTTAACACAGTAAAATCCAGATCATCTACTGTGAAAAGCTCAGTCCCCCTCAAGGTATCATATTTGCTCCAGTACTTTTCTCATCCTAATATCAGAGACAGACAAGTATACAAACTACAGCACTGTATCATCATTTGCAGATGACACTAGGATTTTTATGCGAGTAGACTATATAGAGGACATGGCAAACCTCCAATCAGATGTAAATTGGGTTTTTTAATGGGCCACAGATAATAATATGATGTTTCACAATACAGAGTAATCACACTAACGTGATGTGTTAATGAGAAAACAGGGCGTGTGTGTGGGAACACCCACCGCATAGATTGGAACCCTCATTACAGCTCCTGCGAATTTTCTCAGTATGATGATTAATGAAAATAACTTCCAACTCCTGCGCTATGGAAAAAATAAAAATTTAAAAATGGCAACTATATATAAAACGGAATCAAATCACACTATAGAATGAAAAATTAATGTAAAGGATCTAGAAGTAATCATGTCAGAAGACCTTACCTCTACAGAACACAATAAAGTAGCTGTCAGACTGCAAGAAAAATGAGAGGTTGGATAAAAAGGATCTTCCAAACAAGGATTGCCACACCAATGATGATACTTTTTAAGACACTAGTGCTCTCTAGGAGAACTCTATCAACATCAAGGGCCCAAGACTTTTCAACACTCCCCTATTACACGTAAGGAGCATAACTGGCTGGCCGCTCACAGTGTTCAAGAGAGAACTCGCAAACACCTACAAAAAATACCTAATCAACCAGGCTGCAGCTACATCCAATGACCTGGTTGACCAGATGACCAACTGGGAGGCCTGGTTGGAGACCGGATCACGGGGCTGTTGATCCCCAGAAGCTACACAAGGTAAGGTACACACAGTAGCGATAATATGGCTGAAAACCAATAACCCAACCCACACACATGAAATGAAAGTGACAACATTTCAGTTCATCCTGGACCCTTATCAAGTCATAGATAAAGACATAAATTATAATATCACCATTTGCAGCTGTAAACCATGTCTTTTAATGGACTACAGAAAATTTTGATTTTGCCATAGTAATGATTGTTTGCATTGTTTGTTATGGTTACAAATTTCTCTGAGCAGTTGCTTGTTTTAGAGTGTTTTGGCTTTCTGGTGGGTCTTGTACTCAGTTCTTTGGTAATCTGATCCCCCAGGCTCCCTTTTGTCTATTTGAGTGGGCCAGACACTGGTCGTGATCCCTGGTAAGTGCTTGTGGGTGCGTTCCTGGTGTATTCCACAAAGTTTATTACTTCCAGGTTGTAGCAGCATTGTGAAATTACTAAGTGGCCCACCAGAAAGAAGTGTTTGATTACATTCAATGCTGGATTTTTGTTGATGGTTGTCAGCAACATGTTTTTCGTACAGTACAGTATATAAATAGATTTTGCACTTGATGAAAATTCACTCAAATTGTGATGCAAAGTAGAGTATAAATTGTAATTAAATAGGTAAGGAAAAGTTAGCTGTGTTCTGAGGACTGTTGTTGTTCTTCAGTGTAGTAATTAAGTGATGTATTCTATTATTAGTTATTGGCTAATTCTGCATTATTTTTATTATTACAGCCATTTGATTAAAGAGAGAATGTAGTAAACTTCATATTTACACTTGTGGACCATTGTAGCAGCCTATACTGTACCAGTAGAGTTGCTTAACCCACCACCATAACTTGCTTCTTTTGCAAAGTACACACAACTCATTGTAATCATTTCCTGGATGTTGAGTAAATAAAGGATTGTGAGATTTGAGGACAAATTCCAAGTTATCATATTTGTGCATGGTTAACTTGTTCAAATGTCATGCTGCATGTTTATGTATTCATCACTTTTTGATTTAGTGTGATTTGTTTGTTTTTTTCTTTGGCTTGTGTTTTGTTTCAGAATCATTTGTCTGTCCCTACTGTAATTAATGCACGCTACCTCCATACATGTAAGGTTAGTACAGTCATGTCATTTTAGTACATCCATCTTCAGTTGTAGTATTTTTAAAGTCATTACATTATGGCATAATTGGCAACCACAAATTGTAGAGACTAATTTTTATAATCTGTCTCTGGAAGTATCTATTTCTATGGAGATATTCCTTCCTTGTGGATAAATAGTTTTGCTGAGCTTCTGTGTTTACACTTTCATAATTTTCTGCTATAGTTTAATAGCTCTGTGTTTTTGTTCGATCTCTGTATGAATAAAATGGTTATAGATTTTTTATATATATATATATACTGTACATTGTTTTCCTCCAGCTTGGAATGCATTATTATTGGTATTCCTGGCTGTTGCTTTTGTGCTCTTTGCTTATTTGCAGCCTATATTGCAGTGCTTAAGTTGTTTACACCTTCTTCAGTATTACTTTATTATTATTATAAAAAAAGAGCTAAATCCTTATACAGTAAATGTAGGTAATATTGTATGAAATGTTAAGCCCATTACCAGTCCCTTAAAGGTCATATGCAGTCTTTTAAATTGTGATATATGAATTATACACGTATACCATATCATTTCCCTATTTCCCACTTTTATGATGTGGGAAGGCATCAGCATGGAGAAAAAGGATGAATAATATAGTGGAAAAAGTATAGATATTAAAAATACCAAAATATCACAAGTCTATTGATAATACCGTACCATTGACAGTGGTGATAGCATTCATGGATTAGCAAGCCCTACCACACTTCACCACTCATGCACCAGTAACACCCAGTCACTTTATAACACCAAATGTACAGTGCTCCCTATGAGTTGTCAAATATAGTACATGGGTTATCTTCTTGAGGTTATATCGAGATGATTTCGGGGCTTAGCGTCCCCGCGGCCCAGTCCTCGACCAGGCCTTGTTTTATTTTTTTTTTGTTACATACCCCCAGGAAGCAGCCCATAGCAGCTGCCTAACTCCCAGATACCTATTTACTGCTAGGTAACAGGGGGCATCAGGGTGAAAGAAACTCTGCCCATTTGTTTCTGCCTGAATTGGAGATCAAACCCAGAACCTCAGGACTGCAAATCCGAAGCGCTGTCCACTCAGCTGTCAGGCCCCCTCGGTCTAAGTTGGTCCTCGATCCAACTGACAAACATTTGACTTGTGAGGATCCAACTTACAAATGGCCTAAAAAAATAACACTTTAACCGTATGTCCTGCTATACCAACCAGTTTTGAAGTCCTTACGTGATAGATAGTGCTAATAATTCACTGCCATATTTAAGTGCCTCAGTAATGCCTGATAAGATGAAGAAATATGTTGGTGAGGCAGCAGTGCCTATTCATAGTCACCTTTTATTACCCCCTCCTCTTGCAGTTATACTCTTTACTCTTGAAAAAAATCATCAAATGAGGCAAGCTGGGCAATTCTGTCATCCATGATAAATCAAAATATCTCGTGCATTGTTCACACTCACAAACATGCACTTGCCATGTCCACCACCTCTTTTTGGCCTTTCTTCTTCTCATGCTAAGTCACTTGAATATACTGTACTGTTGTCATCTGTCTACCATCATCATTCAACATGCCCAAACCATCTTAGTACACTGTTTAATTTTGCAGTTTATTTTGGTTTTACACACCACATTTCTCCTTAACATTTTAATTTCTAATTGTCATTCTCCTAACACCACACATGCCCCTTTGGCAGCTTCTGTTTATTTCTTCATTATGCTGACTATAGCTTTCATTGTACGAGGGGGTAGGGAAAGGGAAATATCAGGAGAAAGCTTCAAGCCTTTATGACTATATAGCACTTGGAAGGAGATTTGGGTTGGGACAGGAGAAAGGAATGATGCCTAACCACTTGGAGGGTTGGGGATTGACCTCCGACCTGCATGAAGCGAGACTGTCAATCTATATTCATTATACCATAAAGGTACAATAAAGGTAGCTGTACCAGCTACCTCTATTCCCTGATTCAGCCTATTTCAAAATTTGATGGCACACACTCTTCATTCATAAATCATTCATCCAAGATATTTAATCTGATTCACCACTTCCATACTTCACCATTTTTGCACTTATTTCACTGAGAATTTTTCTCATCACCAGCTTACTTTTGTCCACATTTGAATTGTAAGTCTCCTCGCACACACAATAATATAATTTTTCATTAGGCTACATAAATCTTTTGCTCTGGAAAAAAACCCTATCAGCTATGCAGAGGGTTACACTCCTCCCCTCTTAAGGGGCCCTTTTGGCCCGGCAGGCACTGAAAATTTATGAAAATAAAAAGAAATTAAGGTTAATTTTTCTAAAAATACATCAGCATTTTGGCAACACACTCCAACAATAATCAAGGCAGTCTGATGATTGTAAGTGTTCGTTTCATCTCTTCCCCCCCCCCCATAAAACAACAGTTTGCAATCCCCCCTCCGCCCTAAATGTATTTTATGCTTACTGTTTTCTATGTGAAAAATAATTTACATTTTCTTTATTAATTTTTGGAGGTCTTATGAGTACTTAAATTGGGCTCATTGGCAACTTCAGATAGAAGCTAAGCAGAACAGAACATGTTAGCTGTGTTTTCTTTGGGAAGCCCTGTCGGCTCCCTGATGCTATCTTACTGATCAAGTGTCATACTACCCGAGTGTCATCAGTCGCAGAGTTCTTTGTAAGCCTACTGGGGACCATGAGCCACAACCTGGCCCCCTCAGAGGGGTGAAGGGAGCAGTGGCCCATGAACACACTTTACATTTAAAATATGTCATCTTGCCATTGACCAGGGAAGGCATCCAGAAAGGTAGGTAAATCAAAACAGGCTACTGCCAGTTTGAAAAGAGCGATCTACTCTACAGGCCCTGGAAAACCCCAGTGGGCTCGGTTGTACAATGGTATCTCTTCCGAGTCTGCTCTCGTCTTGTGCGAATTTGTAGGTAGCTCGATGCCTCTGCCTCTGGGGTGATGATCATTAATTCTGCCTATGCCTTGCTGCCTGTTGGGTGAGGCGACACCTTCGACTCAGTCCTGTGGGACTTGTTCCCTGCTTGTGCTCCATTTTCACTCGTCCTGGTTGGCCAGTCCAGCAACGAAGAGGCCTGGTCGAGGACCGGGCTGAGGGGACACTAAGCCCCGAAATCATCGCAAGGTAACCGCAAGGTAATCCCCATCTGATATTCTACGGGATCGGGCAGCGTCACATTGCATAGTCTCCGTGATGCAATGTGACAGGTTGTGCATCTGTTTGGAAGCCCCGGAGCTGCCTCGCTTTGGTTTTATTGCTTCAGTCCGCGCTCCCTCTTCCTTCCCTGGTGGGTGTGTTTGCCCTTTTTCTTATCCCCCCCTTCCCCACTTTGCTGCTGGCTCCTGGATGTCTATGGGTTTTGGTTTCAGGGTGGAGTTTAGCTCGGGGTGAGGCTTGAGCAGCGTCAGGGGGCTGCCCCTTCCGATATGGGTGTGGAGGTGGTTGAGCCTCTTTCTGGGGGAAGCCCCACTGGCTCCCTGAAACTATCTGAACTGATATGTGCTATATGTATTAGTTTGGGTTCATAAGTCACAAGTTCTTAGGCCTACCGGGGACCATGAGCCAGAACCTGGTCCCCTCAGAGAGGCGCAGGTAGCAATGGCATATGAGCACTTTACATTTAAAGTACAGTATGTCATATTCTGCCATCGACCAGGGCATTTACCCAGAAAGATAGGCGAACCAAAACAAACAACTAGCCCATAAAATTGCTACCTCCAGCCAGAAAATGCAAATAAATTCCTGGTGAAAGGAAAGAAACTAGTAACTCTACTCTTAATGAGTTAGCATAACTAGCATAATCCCCTCCCATCCCAATAAGGGGAAGCAGGAGCCGGTTCAGGCAGGATGGCCTCTCACCACCTCAGATTTCGTCTGATGTGCTTGGCGGTCAGCGGTCACCTCTGGCCTAGCTTTCCTGTTCTGGATTTTCCCCTGTGTGGGTGTACCAACTGTGTGTGATCAAAGATCAAAGAGCCCCGAGGAACCTGAATCTGGTGCAGCACCGGCCTCACAGCCGCAAACTCCCACACCTGCTGACCAGGTGTTCTTTGTACTTGGAGCTACATGTACTCTGGCTACCCTTCCCTGGGGGGCCCTGTAAGTACTGCCCTTCTGTGCCAGTGTTACTTTCCCTGGATGTTTGGGACTCACTCTCTTGAGGGCTTCGTCACTTGACGTTGTTTTTGCCCTTGGGGTAAGTCGGGGGTCTATGGCTTTCCATCTTGTCCCGGCTAGAGAAGTGTTATTGGTTGGGGGGGGAGGCGCACTGCAGCTGAGGCAGACTGCTACCTATTTGTTGGCCAACTTTTCTCTCCGGCTGCTAGTTTGCTTGCGGTGTTGTTTCGGGGGTTTGTTCTTTTTTCATTTTTGGGAATTTTCCCTCTGTGAACGGAGGTCTGCTTAGTTACTAATTAGGCCAGCCTAGGTTGTGGTGGCTTTTCTCCTCCATTGATCCCCATGGTTTTACCTCCGTTACTGGTAGTCAGATTTCCTGTTTACAAGCAGGGGGTCTACAAGCCTCAGTGCTTAGCTGACCTCAAGGTTCCGGTGTTTTCCGGGCTGGCAGCCTTTCTTGATGACTGGTTGGTGTAGGCTCCCAACCGGTCTGCTTGTCTGCTAGCCAGGGTTCTGGTTCTTTCCCAGCTTTCCGGGTTCGTTTCCTGGTAACTTGGCAGAGGTCCCAGTTAGTTCCGTTCCAGGTTTGGACTTGGCTGGGCCTCGTGGTTGATTCTCGTACTATGTCCATGTCTCCCCCTCCTGCAGCTGTGCTCCAACTGCAGTCCTGCTTTCAGCTGCTTTTGAGGGGGGGCCCTAGGGTCACTCGGCGGTTGCTCGAACAGTTGTGTGGGAGCCTGACATTTTTCCTTCTGGTTTATTCATTGGGCAAGATTTAACTTTGGAGGCTGTTCTGGTATCTTCAGGCTGCCTCTTTTGCTGTGCTCACAGCCTTAGGGTTCGCACCCCAGGGTCCTTACGTCGGTTGCTGCATC